CTCATGTCCATCAAGTCGGTGATGCCATCCAGCCATCTCATCCTCTGTCATCCCAATGTTCAGAGCAGCATTATTTATAACTGCCAAAATATGGAAGCAACGTAAGTGTCCATCAACAGATGAATGGATGAAGATATGATATACATATACATTGGAATACTGCTCAGTCATAAAAATAATGAAATTTTGTCATTTTCAGCAACATGCATGGACTTAGAGGACATTATGCTAAGTGAAATAAGTCAGACATAAGTAGGAAGACTGAATGATACCACTTATACATGTAAAATAAAAATACAACAAACTAATGAATATAACAAAAATAAAAGCAGACTCACAGATATAGAGAACAAGCACAGTTACTAGTGGGAGGGTGGAGGGGCAGTTATGGGATAAGGGAATGGAAGGTACAAACCATTAGGTGTAAGATAAATTCAGGGATATACTGTACTACATGGGAAATATAGCAATATTTAATAATAACTGTAAATGAAAGGTAACCATTAAAATCATGTAAAATTTTTTAAAAAGAAATAGTTACCAATTCATAGCAATAACAACAATAAAGAAGACATACTGAAGAAAAGAGCGATAAAATATTGATGATGAACATAAAACACCATCTGAGCAAATGGAATGGCGTAACATGTCCTTGGATTGGGTGACTCAGTATTATAATATCCTCAAAAAATCAGTATAAATTTAGTGCAATTCCAGTTAGAATCTCAACAGGGTTTTTCATTTATATTTTGGGGGACTGATAAAATGATCATAAAATCTATATGGGAAAGCAAATAGACCCTAAAAAGCCAATAAAACTAAATAAAAGAATAACAGTAAGGGGAACTTGTCTGATATCAGCACATATCTTAATGCTGCTATAGACTGATAGGATGACAATATAGAAAGAGACTAATAGAACAGCAGAACAGAGAATTCAGGAATAGATCAACAAATGCAAGAGATTTTAATATATGACCAAGGTGGTGTTTCAATTCAGTGGGAAAATGGTAGAATATTTAATAAATTATGCTGAATGAATTGTCTTCCAATATAGAAAAACTGAAGATAAAGCTGTATGTTACATACGTATAAAAATAAATCCAAAAGGATTAAAGACTTGGATGGAAAAAAAAATAAAATGATAACATTCTTGAGGTTTCCCTGGTAGCTCAGTGGCAAAGAATCCATCTGCCAATGCAGGAGACATAGGCTTGATCCCTGACACAGAAAAATCCCACATGCTGTTGAGCAACTAAGCCCATGAAACACAACTATTGAGCCTATGCTCTAGAGCCCAGGAGCTGCAACTATTGCGCACACATGCCATAACTACTGAAGCCCACACACCCTAGAGCCCGTGCTCTGCAACAAGAGAAGCCACAGCCATGAGAAACCTGCGCATTGCAGCTAGAGAGCAGCCCTGCTCACTGCAACTAGAGAAAAGCCTACGCAGCACCAAAGACCCAGCACAGTCAAAATTAAATAATTTTTTTAAGTGACAACATTCTTAGAAGAAAACCTATAAACAAGCTATAATCCCTCAGAATAGGAAAAAATTCTTAACCAAGACAGGAAACCCAAAAGACATTGAAAAAGACACAGTAATTATATAAAATTTAAGATGTCTAAAATTATAAAAAGCTATCATAAACAACTGAAAAATATAAATATGAGGATAAAATGCAATGCACAGATGACAAACCTCTTTTATACATGAGTATGGCTTCCCTTGTCGCTCATTCCCCCATTGCCAATGCAGGAGACACAGGTTTGCTCCCTGGGTCGGGAAGAGCCTCTGGAGAAGAGAATGGCCACCCACTCCAATATTCTTGCCTGGGAAATCCCATGGACAGGGGAGCCTTGGGCGGGGGGGGGTCTACAGTCCATCGGATTGCAAGAGTTGGAGACAACTTAGCAACTAAACCAACCAACCAAAAAAAGATAAACAGCCCAACAATAATATGAGCTAACGACAAGATTAACCAATTCAGAGGCATGTCCAATCCAATGTCAACCTGTAAATCAATGTTCAAACATACTTGTAGTAAGGAAGGCAAATTAAATTTTGCCATCAAATGGGCAAAAAGCAAAAGGTAATGCACTTTCAGGGTATTGTTGGCAGAGACTAAGAAGAGATGGTGCTCTTCACCATTGCTTGTATCATGGGAGAATGCCATTGAAACATGTATATTGTCACATGTGAAACGATCACCAGTCCAGGTTCAATGCATGATAGAGGGTGCTCGGGGCTGGTGCACTGTCCAGATAACCAGAGGGATGGGATGGGGAGGGAGGTGGGAGGGGGGTTCAGGATGGGGAACACATGAACACCCGTGGCGGATTCATGTCAATGTATTGCAAAACCACTACAATATTGTAAAGTAATTAGCCTCCAATTAAAATAAATTTATATTAAAAATAAATAAAATACTTCCTGAAAAAAAGGTATCAACAATAACAATCTTAGTAAGCAATCTGACAAAATTGATGACAACTAAAATCTTTTTAAAACTTTAAAATTGTGTAATACATGAAATTTAAAAGTTGTAAGTGAAAAAAGCACACATTGAAAATGAAAAAATAACCAATGAAAATATGCCAATAACTATGACATCTTTATTTCACTCTCACATTTCAATGAATTCATCTATAAGTCTAGACTCAAATTTCCTGTTTCAAAAATACTTTGCAAATATTATTCTAGTGTTGCTGTTTAAAATGTCAGGTGAGCTGAGCACTGAAGAACTGATGGTTTTGAATTCTGGTGGTGGCGAAGACTCTTGAGAGTCCCTTGGACTGCAAGGAGATAAAACCAATCAATCCTAAAGGAAACCAACTCTGAATATTTACTGGAAGCCCTGACGCTGAAGTTCCAATACTTTGGCCACCTGATGTGAACAGCCGACTCATTGGAAAAGACCCTGATGCTGGGAAAGACTGAGGGCAGGAGGAACAGGGGACAACAGAGCATGAGATTGTTGGATGGCATCACTGACTCAGTGGACATGAGTTTGAGCAAACTCTGGGAGATAGTGAAGGACAGGGAAGCCTGGCATGCTGCAATCCATGGGATCGAAAAGAATTGGAACACAACTTAGTGACTGAACAAGTGCTGCTATTTAAAATGTCAGATGTGAATCAAATTTCATCCCTCTATATATGGTCTGCTGCTTTCTCTCTGGAATTGGTTCCTTGTTCCTAAATTTCCCTTTACTGTATCATGTTGATATTTTCCCTTTTCTCTTTCATGTTGGCACACAATAAGCCTATTTGACCTTTAACCGTGACAAAATTTCAATTAGCAATTCTTCAAATATTTAACTTGATTTTTTTTTCATTTAGAAGCCCTACTAATCAAATGTTGGTGATTATTCTATTTTTCATGTCCTTTTTTTTTTTTCATTTTTACAATTTTTTGTCCTTTCTCAATGCCTCTGGGAATGTTTCAAAATCCACTCATCTCATCAATTCACACATTGATTATATTCATGCAACCCATGAGTTAAGTTTTTTCCATTATATCTTATTGGTTCTTTTTTACAACTTCTTGCCCCTGTTTAATGTTTCCCGTGCCCTCCCATACACCCTTGAGAATATTTATTAGGGTTGTTGTGAGCTCTTGTTTCTCTAGCTCATTACTTCTGCCCCCTCTGGAAGTAGTTGCTCAGTTTGTGATCTTTCCTTTACATCAGTGTTGCTCAAAGGTCTGGTTTTTTCTGTTCCTTTTGGAGAACTAGCTATAATTTTTACATTAAGTTCTGAGTTCCATCCATATCCCAGTTGCTGTTGAGGCTTTGAGTCCAAAATTAGACTCAAAGGAGGAAAACCACAATTCCTTTAAGTTCCCTATCCTGACTCTCCTTTGGCATAAATGAGACATAATGTCCTCAAGAATTAGCCTGGTCTTAGTTTTTTCATTTTCAGTAGTGCTAGACTATGTCATAGACCTACCAAACATTTTTCATTTGTTTATGGAGTTACAGTGTTCCAGGTATAGGAGAGAGAGCAAGGACTCAGAATGGCAAATCACTATGGAAAATGCCATTATTTTCAAAATTTCTTGGAACCTTAATCCTCCATGATTATTACAGTAAATTTTATTTTCCTCCCTCTCCTTCATGGACTTGCATAATTTATTAATTTCAAAAATATTAAAATTTACTTTTGAGGATTTCTTAACTGAACTGACCCTGAAGATAACTGGAGAGTTCTCTTGGGTTTTATAAAACCAGTTTGACTATAGCTGATCTAAAAATATAACAGAAATTGGCATGTTCTATGGAATTATTTCTGTCTTGCCTCCCTGTTCTTAATATATCAATATTTGGATCTTACCAGACATCTGTACAGATGTCTAGCCTTTTCTTTTGATCTGACATTTACTTACTCAACAACTGTTTGTTGAACACTTGCCATATTATTGTTCTAGTTGTCAGGTGCCCAAAAAGAAAGACGCGGTCCCTGCCTTCACAGAGCTTTAAAGTCTAACAAAGAATCCAGATTGAATGCGGGTTCTGTTACAGCAGGGATTTCTTCCTGTGTTGTTTTCCAGTGTATCCCAGGCACCCAGGCCAGTGTAAATATTGACTGCACATTAAATGAGCAAACTACTGACTCTTACGACAAGTGGGTTGGGTGCTATGGTGGGAAAGTGCACGTGTCATGGAGTGTATAAACAAGAGGCCTTACCTGCTCTGGGGGGATCATACAGAACTAGCTCTCCAACTGTTGGAGCCCTCCCTCTAGGGTGGTTTATGCAGGCTTAGCTAAACAAGCAACCCCCAGTTCCTATTCAGGCTGCCTGGCCGTTTTACATGGAGGCCTGAGCCACCTTGGACGCTTCAGTATTAATTTCAGTAAATGACAAGTTATATGAACACCTTAATAATATCGTGTGTTTATGGAAACAACAGAAGAATCAGTTTAACAATGCCTATTTGCGTTTCTCGCTTCTTGCCTGCCGGTGCCTACACCCCATTTTCCTTTTTAACTTGCAGATGAAGGAGCTTCCATGCACCCTTGTGATGATACATACTGCGGACCTTTCCCAGAATCTGAGCCGGAAGTGAAAGCTGTAGCTAACTTCCTCCGGAAACATAGGAAGCACATCACGGCTTACCTATCTTTTCACGCATATGCTCAGATGTTGCTGTATCCATATTCTTACAAGTATGCAACAATCCCTAATTTTAGCTGTGTGGTAAGTACTTGAAGCTGGATATGTGTGTCAGGCTTCATGCCTTTCTAATGCTAAGATGGTCCTATGTAATGATGCAAAATCATTGTATGTGTATGTGTGTGTGTGTATATATATATGTATATAGTTATATATATAATAGTATATATAGCATATATATAGTATATATAGTTATATATAATAGTATATATAATATACTTGTATATAATAGTATATATATGTATAGTATATATAGTTTATATATATAGTATAGTATATAGTATACATATATAGTAGTTACTGTATATGATTGAGAAAGATAAATGACATTTATATAATATAATGACATATATATTTATATATAAATGTCATTTATCTTTCTCAATCATATACAGTATATATATATATAAAATGACATATATATAATGACATATATATATAAAATGTCATTTATCTTTCTCAATCATATACAGTAACTATTATTATCCTTATTTTACAGATGAGGAAGCTGAAACCTAAACCTACTAAATAATTAAAATAAGAACACACCGCTACTCCCTGTCATACCCAGGATTCACTCCAAATCTAGCTCCAATGTTGTTGCTTTTAACCACTGTGCTACACTGTTTCTCAAATGCTATCATTTCCAAACTATTTACTTTCTTATCACATGTTATTTGGAAAATGTCAGGATGGATTTGATCTGTATTACAGCTTCGGTCACACACGCAGGGGTGTAATTAACTTTATTGAGTAAATAATTGTTCATAAATTATGGTCTGACTCTCATTAATTAAAAGCAAGTTTTAATTTATAAGCGCTATTTGCTTAATGCTACTAAGTCTCTGGGCATGTATCTGACAAGTTGGTGCTTAGAGTGAACAGCTTTTCAAGCATGAGATTACTTGAAAGTGAAAGAGCAGAGTTCCTTCCCCTCCTCATCTCAGAAGCCCAACAAGCTATCCACTACAGGAATTAATTCCTTATAAAGTGAGTCTGGCTCAGAGCCTATAGCATCTAGAGGCCTACGAAGTGCAAAGCCAGGCCGTGCTAATAATGTTACAAGGAAGGAATAGGGAGGGAGAAGGGATTAGGAGGGGGCGTAGGCAGGCTTTGGGTTGCTGTTGATGTTCTGTTCTTTGTCTGGATGCTGGTTACTGGATTAGTGTGTGCAGCTTGTGATCCTTCATCGAGCAATAAACTTTATTTGTATACACTTCTGTAGGTATGTTACACTTAAAAGTTTTTTTTTTTTTTTTAATAAAAGCATCCCCTTTCTTCCTATACCTCAATCTCCAAATCCTGCATCAGTTGCTTGGGGTTGCAGGAATTCCTGATCTAGATGTCCAGGACCTAGAAGGAATGAGGAACATGAGGTGGTCAGAAGGTGATCTGGGGAAGGCTTGTTTCCTATCCAAAAGAGGAACTCTGTTCTTAGCATTTCATGCAAGAATTCTGAGCAAATTCTCTCTCTTGAGAAATACTGTAAAGGCGGGAGTGATGCTAGATGGAGCTATTCTTCAGCGCCTCAGTGGATCAAAGATGCTTTTCATTTTCAATGTTGGTGACCTGGCAGTCTAGCACCTTGTTCTGCAATGTTTCTATAGGCAGTTGTTCATCCCTTTCTAAACTGGGCACAGCATCTGTTTGTGTCCTCACAACTGATTATATAGAATAAACAATGTATTAAAACTATCACATGAGGATGGTGTCCACATTTTGAATTTATTTTCCCACCAGCAGTTTAATTACTTTCTTTTTGTCTTGGATTAGAGGATATGGTATGAAAATTGAATCAGTGGTTCACAGCCAGTGATGAACTTCCCTCCCAAGGGACACTGGACAATGTTAGGAACATTTTTTTGATTGCCACCACAGGGGTGAAAGATGTTACTGGCATCTAATGGGTAGAGGCCAAGGATGCTATGAAATATCCTACATTACACAGGACAGCCTTCCACAGCAAAGAGCAATTCAGTCCAAACTGTCAGTAGTAACCCTATTGAGAAATCCTGTTAGTGGGTTGCAGATAAGCTAAATTGCTAAAACCAAGATTATAGTTCTCAGAAACTAGATAGTCTGTGAATGTTAACCAGAAACCATTAAGTTCTGTTCAACTTGTTCAAAAGCATTCCATCAATATGTAGGAGTCTGTGGTTCTGCTAATGTATTTAGGTCATGAAGTTGTTTTTTAACTTTTAAAAAATGATTATTATTATTATTGGCCATGCCATGCATGTGGCATCCCACAGCATGTGGCACATGGGACCTTAGTTCCTTAACCGGGGGTGGAACCTGCACCCTCTGCACTGGGAGCATGGAGTCTTAACCACCAGATTGCCAGAGAAGTCCCCGAACTTGCTTTAAATATAAAAATATTTAAAGAAAAAATATACTGCTTACTTAGCTAAGGTCCAATAAAGGAGGCCTGGGTCCTTCTGAACAACTGGGGGGGAAAGCAATGGAGAAAGGAAGAATCACTTAAACTCATCTAAATAGATGCCACCCTGGAAAATAATTCTTAGAAAATTTAATGAAGTTTCTACTCTTTGTGAAAGGAATATGCCTAGACCTCTTATCAACATACACCCCAGTCGCAGCAGTCCAGTGATCACAAAAGGCTAAAACTATGTTTTGTGAAAACAGGCAGAGTGGTTATCTTTTTTTTCTCAATAGATTTTTTCCCCCCTTGGGTTTAGTCATCTGAAATAATAAGGAACAAAGGTCTCCTCATATCAGAGTGCAGTAATCTTCTAAACGTAGAAATATCTGCCCTTGCCATTGAATATTGCTGAGGCCATTGGAGAAGACGTTAAAAGTCTTAGCACATTCTCCATAAAGAAACCTCATTATGGTGTTTACATTCCTATTCTGTTGGCTCCCGCAAGGAGAATGTCGTCATCAGGGAGATCAATAATAAATGTTTGTCAGGTCCTACTGCCTGGTCCCTGAATAGCCACCCCGTGTAGCATTTGCTGCAAATGCTGCTCTCTGCATCCCAGAGGTAAGTGAGAACAGCAGGCTGAAGCCGGGTCCAACATACAACACCGCGTTGCCCAGAGTGCTTCAATGTGCTGGATTAAATTATTCACAGGAAAGTGGAAATGGGAGAGTCATATACCAGTTTCAGCATACTTCTTTTCCCCTCACTGGTCACTCAATATGTTTCAACTCCTTGTTGAAACTAGTCCTTTCACACCATTTGAAAATGTTTTCACAGGGCAGTCTTCATCATTTGAGAAGGATATTCACCTTTAGGTATTTTGATGGCATTTATTTTTCCTGCTTTTTGGCATAGGTAGGAAGTTCTACCTTAGAATTTCTACATCTTAGCCACACCTGGCAGAGCTCTGCCAGAGGAGTGTGTAACCTTAGAAGTCAGGAAGCATTCTGAAAGTGTTTCCATTCCCAAGAAGGATAAACACACAGAGCAAGAGGAGTCACTTCTGCTGAATTAAAGGGTTTGGGAACTGATTCAAACGGGTTTTAACTACCTTGAACCTAGCCACTGAAGTATGTACTTAAGGATCGATAAGATTATCTTGATACTCTTGTAGATCTATGCTTATTCAACATGCATGCAAGAAATAGTGATTAAGGGGACTTCCTTCATGGTCCAGTGGCAAAGACTCCATGCTTTCCCTGCAGGGGGCGCAGGTTCCATCCCTGGTCAGGGAACTAAGATCTCTTATGCTGTGTGACCAAAAAGAAATTAAAATTAAAATAATCTATTTTTTTAATTTATCTTAAAAATAGTGATTAAGTATCTGTTATACACAGCCATGTTGCTAAATGGTGTATATGTAGCTATGAGTAAGACTGACGTGAGCTCTGCCCTGTCAAGCATTTTGTAATTTATAGAAATGGTGTCTCTGAACTAATTCAAAGAGAAGAGGGCAGAACACTAAATCAGTCTCAGAAGATGTCTGTTTCAACCCAGCCATCCTGTGCAGTGTAACCCCAGTCTGACCACTGAACCTTGATGAGCCTTCCTTTCCTTGTCTATATATGGAAATATTACTGATCACTGGCTCACTGTAGAAATTAATCAAGGGAAATAGTGTGCTCTAAAACATATTGCAAAATGCAATATGCAACAAAGAATAACAATATTACCATTAAATACAGCTATTCATCAGTGCCCTCAGCGTTCTCTATATTGAGTACTGATGATGCTCAAACAACATGTCAGTGTTTCTAAAGCTTTCAATGCAATGATATATGTGATCGAATTTCTCCATTTACATTAACAGGAATCTGCAGCTTATAAGGCCGTGAATGCACTCCGGTCGGTTCACGGGGTACAGTACCGATACGGGCCTGCCTCCAGCACATTGTGTAAGTTTCCTTTGGATGCTATGTTGGAATCATCTCTTGAACCAATATCCTGTGTAATGACTTCCCTTTTTAAAAAAAAAAAAAAGAGAATGTTCCCAACTTCCCAAAATGAAATTTTTGACTACCAAATTAGCCAAGGAAGATGGAAGTTTATGTCTGATTAGTTTTATGCTGCTTGACAGAAATCACTGTCCCAATTCAAATGAATCCTATGCAGAGAATATGCTAGGCACGTAATAGACTACAGAGTTGAACTGAGATCTTATGACAGTACAAAGTACCCAAATGGGCTCCTTAAGCAGTTGTAACCCCTGTGAAATGGTAATGGGCCTTGAGAAGAAAATGAAGTAATGTTTCAGCTCTGAAAGAGCTTCCTTTTTATCCCTTTCCTTCACCATTCTTATTATGACATTCTGTTTCTTACATAACACCATCAACTGAATTTCTTCTTGAACAGTAATTAAAATATCTATTTCATGTGAAATAAAGAGTAACAAGTTCTTTCCAGTGTATGGACATAACTTGGACATATATAGAACCAGAAGACATGGATTCTAGCCTTAATTCTGCCACTAGTCAGATGGAATCCTGACAAAGACAATAATCCTGGGCTTCAGTTTGCACAACTGATGCATGAGGAATGGGACTAGGTCATTTCCCATAGTCTTTCAAACTCTGCAATTCATAAACAGACTTCTCTGGTGACCCAGTGATTAAAAATCTGCCTGCCGATTCTAATTTATCTTAAAAATAGTGATTAAGTATCTGTTATACACAGCCATGTTGCTAAATGGTGTATATGTAGCTATGAGTAAGACTGACGTGAGCTCTGCCCTGTCAAGCATTTTGTAATTTATAGAAATGGTGTCTCTGAACTAGTTCAAAGAGAAGAGGGCAGAACACTAAATCAGTCTCAGAAGATGTCTGTTTCAACCCAGCCATCCTGTGCAGTGTAACCCCAGTCTGACCACTGAACCTTGATGAGCCTTCCTTTCCTTGTCTATATATGGAAATATTACTGATCACTGGCTCACTGTAGAAATTAATCAAGGGAAATAGTGTGCTCTAAAACATATTGCAAAATGCAATATGCAACAAAGAATAACAATATTACCATTAAATACAGCTATTCATCAGTGCCCTCAGCGTTCTCTATATTGAGTACTGATGATGCTCAAACAACATGTCAGTGTTTCTAAAGGTTTCAATGCAATGATATATGTGATCAAATTTCTCTATTTACATTAACAGGAATCTGCAGCTTATAAGGCTGTGAATGCACTTCGGTCGGTTCATGGGGTACAGTACCGATACGGGCCTGCCTCCAGCACATTGTGTAAGTTTCCTTTGGATGCTATGTTGGAATCATCTCTTGAACCAATATCCTGTGTAATGACTTCCCTTTTTAAAAAAAAAAAAAAGAGAATGTTCCCAACTTCCCAAAATGAAATTTTTGACTACCAAATTAGCCAAGGAAGATGGAAGTTTATGTCTGATTAGTTTTATGCTGCTTGACAGAAATCACTGTCCCAATTCAAATGAATCCTATGCAGAGAATATGCTAGGCACGTAATAGACTACAGAGTTGAACTGAGATCTTATGACAGTACAAAGTACCCAAATGGGCTCCTTAAGCAGTTGTAACCCCTGTGAAATGGTAATGGGCCTTGAGAAGAAAATGAAGTAATGTTTCAGCTCTGAAAGAGCTTCCTTTTTATCCGTTTCCTTCACCATTCTTGTTATGACATTCTGTTTCTTACATAACACCATCAACTGAATTTCTTCTTGAACGGTAATTAAAATATCTATTTCATGTGAAATAAAGAGTAACAAGTTCTTTCCAGTGTATGGACGTAACTTGGACATATATAGAACCAGAAGACATGGATTCTAGCCTTAATTCTGCCACTAGTTATATGGAATCCTGACAAAGACAATAATCCTGGGCTTCAGTTTGCACAACTGATGCATGAGGAATGGGACTAGGTCATTTCCCATAGTCTTTCAAACTCTGCAATTCATAAACAGACTTCTCTGGTGACCCAGTGATTAAAAATCTGCCTGCCGATTCGAGGGACACAGGTTTAATCCCTGGTCCAGGAAGATCCCAAATGCCTTGAGGCAATTAGGCCATATGTCACAACTACTGAAGCCTAAGGACCTACAGCCTCGGAGCCACAACAAGAGATGCCACCACAATGAGAAGTCCACACACCGCAAGAGAAGCCCCACTCTCCACAACTAGAGGAAGCCCATGCACAGCAACGAAGACCCAGTGCAGCCAAAAATAAATTTAAAAATAAAATTTATTGACTATATGACTTAGAAAATCTAGTGAGAAAGCATATATTCCTGAATATCTAGTGTCATTCTAGAAGCTCACCATGATCATATAGTGGATCATATAATGTACATTATATGTGTATGTATAGATATTGACATTCAATTATTCTTTTCAGTGAGCTAGCAAATTTCTCAATTTCTTTAATTTATCCATTATATATTTCTAACCAATCACTTTCTTCAGCCTTCAGAAGAAACACTTGGCTTGTTAATTAACATTGTTTATAAGTTTATCCTGGTAATGGTGATATCTTAAGTATCAGAATTTTTTTTTAAGTTAATGATCATTGGTCTAATGCTGACCTTTCTATAACTGTCTTTTAAAAGAGCCACTTTGAAAGGGGAAATATAGTATTTTTAAAAATCACATTACTAGTTAATGCCAGTAGAATATATATTAAAAATCTAAAAACATTAATTTTAAAAAAGCCTTACTCACAGTTCACCTTTCAGCTTGGTATTAAGGCACAGTCATAGTATCATAGTATCATATTTACTGAGAGCAACCTGTTACCATAGAAATGAGGCTGTCATATCTCCATGATGTAAGGGTTGGCAAATATTGTCTCTGACTTTGGCTACTATGGCTACTATTTGCAGTTCCAGCGACTCTAACCCAGAAGGACAAAGAAGCCACAGCCTACCTTCTGGCCCCAGCTGGAAGCAAAGGGGTCCTGGGAAACAGCATTTGATTGTCATCGTCATGTAATTTATCTCTAACTTGTCCTAGCAACAATGGCATCAAAAAGTGGTATCATTCGAGAGGGAAAAATTTTAAATAACAGTGGTGTTATGTTAGGCTGGATCATATAAACTTCAGGAAAAAGTATATAAAGATTCTTCTATGAAAATTTATTCACTTATGAGTTAATTATTAGAAACATGCTAAAAACTGTGTACTAGGCACTTTGGGGTTAAAAGTACTAAACAGTAACACCAAATGCATCCTGATTGCTTTAATTTTCACAACAACTCTATGCAGTAGGTACTATGATCCCTTTTTCAAAAGGAAGACTGAGGCACAGAGAATCCCAAAAGGTGCTGCGACTGGATACAGTTCAAGCCCACAGTGTGGGCTTTCAATTGTGTGCTGGAAAACTGGAGTGTATAAGGTCACAGAAGCCAGGAGAGAGTTGCCAGAATGGATTATCAGCTAGGTTAAATGCTGCTGAGAGGCTAAAAGTTCGATCTGAGGAAGGAAAAAAACAAAAAAGGAGATTAGGCCCGCTGTCATAGGTGACCTTCAAGAACAAAGGCTTCATAGTCTGGTAGAGGCAAGAACCAGATTCAAGTGGTTGCGGATGTAGAAGCAATATATATAGATTATCTTTTGAGAGCTAAAGCAAAAGAAAGAAGAAAAAAAGATAGGGTATAATAGGGATCTGGAGAAGGAAGTGCTCCAGGGAAGCAGGGCTGGGACATTTTGGTCAATGAGGACACGAGAGAAGGGGTGGTCTATTAACAAAACAAGGTCCTGGAGAAGGGGCCCTCTCGCTACCAGAGAAGGCAACAAAAATTGGTATCAGACAATGTCACATGTAAAAGACAAGCAGCATTTCTTCCTGAGCTAGGAGAAAAGTGAAGAGTGGGATGGAAGTAAAGGAGGTGCTGTTGAGAGGATGTTGAGAGTGGAGACAGTGATAAACCAAGGGGCAGGACCAGAAGAGAAAGACAAAGGGTCTGTAAGTGAAGATCTAGAAAAAGGCATCTATAATACTATTGGTAATGGAGAAAGACTTCAGAATGAATGAATTTACAACAGATTTTCTCCATCTCCCTGTTGAGATAAAAAAAAAACAGAGAAACTGGACTTCAGGATTGAGAATTAGCAAATCAAAAGCAGAAAAGGGCTAGAAAAGAAGGGTCTAATGAGAAATTTAGTGGTGTAATTCATAGTCAGCTAGAGAGTTCAATGAAATTCTAAGAAGCCTGTAGGCAGTCTTAGAAACTGTAATAAGTGAAGGCAAAGAACAAGTTCATCAGGAGTGAAAAACATTGGGGATATAGAAGAAATGAGGTTTTCTGAGATCAAAATTCAATATTCAAGACCTTGGAAGAGAAGATAAAAGCCCACAATGTGGGTATGTTTCTTGGTGAATGAAGTGAGGGTGGAGAGAAATAATATTGAAGTTGAGGCTGAGAAATTGAGGTCACTGTACTGGAAAAGCATTACTACATAGACTAGATCATCCAAGAGCAAAGTTTTCATAAATGTCAGAGGCAAGAACCAGACTGAAAGTGGCTAGGATGATTTATGATGATAGCAGGTATGATTTATGAGTTCCATGAGCTTGATGTTAAGGAACTCTGGTTAAATTGCTCTTGTTGAAAGGGTATTTAATTGGAAAGATTTAGGATAGCTTAGTAAGCAAGTACTATATATACATTTTGAAAATTACATACTCTAGTGAAGCTGACCTTTTTTTTTTTTTTTTCTAACTTTTAGATGTGAGTTCTGGTAGCTCAATGGATTGGGCCTACAAAAATGGAATACCCTACACATTTGCTTTTGAACTACGTGACACTGGGCATTTTGGCTTTTTACTCCCAGAGACACTCATCAAACCCACCTGTACGGAGACCATGCTGGCTGTGAAGAATATCACAATGCACCTACTAAAGAAGTGCCCCTGAGACACCCCAAGGGGCAGGTCAACCACCAGAAAGAGCCAATTCTGTGCAAGATTCATTTGGAAGTGGATGTATATTGTTATAGAGAAGGGCAACTGCTGAGAGGGAACCTAACTGTGGACTTTAAAATCCTTCTCATGCAATCCCATTCTCTGTGGCAATAAAAAAAAAGGTTAAAAATAAACATATATAGCTTACTTTGTTGAAAGAGAAGACATCCATTTTCTATCCATTTAGAGTCTTATTTGTTTAAGTGGGGAGGGGATATTTTCTAATTTTTTGTCTTAAGAAATGTACAAATTGAGGATTCTACTTCAATAAATCTCATGTTCCCAATTAAGATCTAGGCTACTAATCATGTTTTATCACTTGGTTCTCATGTAAAATGAAAATTTTTGGAATGGAAAGAAATATATTTCTTAATATCATAAATATACAACCTAATAAGACCTCAGATTATTCATATCACCCCCTGGCCTTAGTGCACCAAACACCTATAAAAATGTAGTAAGGAAGGGCAGTTATGTTCAGACTTCAAGACTGCCACTTTAAACAAATAGAGCAAACATTGAGGAGCCACACAGTGTTCGGAGCTTTACACTCATTAGCAATCTCACCAATTCCTCAAATACTACTGGGCTCCCCCGGTGGCTCAGAATCTGCCATCCCAGCTCCTGCAATGCAGAGGACCTGGGTTTGATGCCTAGGTCAGGAAGATCCCCTGGAGAAGGGAATGGCTACCCATTCCAGTATTCTTGCCTGGAGAATTTCATGGGAGAGGAGCCCAGCGGGCCGCAGTGCGTGGGGTCACAAAGAGTCAGATAGGCTGAGTGGCTAACACTTTTCGCTTTCAGATACTACTGTCATCCCATGTTTCAAAAGAGGAAATTGTGGTTTAAAAGGGTGATATCAAGAGGGGAGTGGGATGGACTGGGTAATTGGGATTGGCATATATACCCTACTGTGTATAAAATAGGTAACTAATAGCACTGATGACTGTATAGCACAGGGAACTCTACGCAGTGCTCTGTGTTAACCTAAATAGGAAGGAAATCCAAAAAAGAGGAGGTATTAATATACATATATGTGTGGCTGATTCACTTTGCGGTACAGCAGAAAGTAACACAACATTGGAAAAGAACTGTAACAAAATTTTTTTGGTATTTTTTTAAAAAGGTAATATAGGTTCTCATTTCTAAGAATATGATAGGATAAGTATCTGTACTGCTGGAAATAACTCAAACTTCTGGACAATATGTAATTTTTTTCAAATCATCTTTAAAACATCAGATCAAGAAGTAAAGAAACCTCAGGGCAGGCATTGAGTGAAAACAGTCCTAGAAAGGTAAGGGGTCCACTGAGAACATCTGTCAGGTCAGCTGAGTGCAGACTGATTCCCACAGCATTTCAGAGAATGGTCACAGAGAACAAAGCCCAGCATGAGTCCAAGGTGGTCTGGAGAAGGGAATGGCTACCCATTCCAGTATTCTTGCCTGGAGAATTTCATGGGAGAGGAGCCCAGCGGGCCGCAGTGCGTGGGGTCACAAAGAGTCAGATAGGCTGAGTGGCTAACACTTTTCGCTTTCAGATACTACTGTCATCCCATGTTTCAAAAGAGGAAATTGTGGTTTAAAAGGGTGATATCAAGAGGGGAATGGGATGGACTGGGTAATTGGGATTGGCATATATACCCTACTGTGTATAAAATAGGTAACTAATAGCACTGATGACTGTATAGCACAGGGAACTCTACGCAGTGCTCTGTGTTAACCTAAATAGGAAGGAAATCCAAAAAAGAGGAGGTATTAATATACATATATGTGTGGCTGATTCACTTTGCGGTACAGCAGAAAGTAACACAACATTGGAAAAGAACTGTAACAAAATTTTTTTGGTATTTTTTTAAAAAGGTAATATAGGTTCCCATTTCTAAGAATATGATAGGATAAGTATCTGTACTGCTGGAAATAACTCAAACTTCTGGACAATATGTAATTTTTTTCAAATCATCTTTAAAACATCAGATCAAGAAGTAAAGAAACCTCAGGGCAGGCATTGAGTGAAAACAGTCCTAGAAAGGTAAGGGGTCCACTGAGAACATCTGTCAGGTCAGCTGAGTGCAGACTGATTCCCACAGCATTTCAGAGAATGGTCACAGAGAACAAAGCCCAGCATGAGTCCAAGGTGGAAAACCTAATAACAGATTCTCCTCTGACCAAAATTCTGGAATTCCAAAGGGCTAATCCTTCAGTGTAAATAAATGCCCATACTACCACCAATGGACCCCAAGGCAAATTAACTATTTCAGATTTTGCCAAAAGTAGAGAGGGGACAGATTGCCACTGAGTATGGGAACCACAGTTCAGCCCTCACCCAGGTCTGCAACCCAAATTCAGACTACCTAGGTGGTCTGATGGGCCTCTAGCCAAGAGTTCAATTCTGATTAATCCCAGACTGGTTATTGTTCCAAGTATGTGATAGAAGCAAATCCTATCAGAGGATTTAGCAGACCAAAACACATCATGAACACCAAGATAAAGAGATGAGCCTTAAAAGTTCCAGAAAGAAAAAGAAGTGATCACAAAGAAATAAGGACCAGAGTGTTGTGAAACTTCTCAACAGCACCACAGATGCTGGATGATAGAAAAATGTCTTTAGACTTTCAAAGAAAAAAAATCTATTCTCAAAATCTATAACATGCCTTCCTTGATGGCCCAATGGTTAAGACTGTGCTTCCACTGCAGGGGGTTGCAGATGCAATCCCTGGTTGGAGAACTAAGATCCCACATGCTGAGCAGGAAAAAAAAAATCTATACCTGGCAAAAAAATCAATGAAATGTGAGGGTAGAATATAGACATTTTCATATAACTGAAGTCCTAGTTAACTTTCTCTGAAAACTCCTGAAGGATATGCTCAACCAAAGTAAGGGTCTAAATGAAGATAAAAATGTAAAATCCTAGAAAATAGGAAATTCAACATAGGAGAAAAGAATGAAAAAAAAATGTCTACAGTTGTGTGATTTGAATGTCCATGCCTTGGGCTTGGTTGCTTAATAAATATTTATATTTGGTTTTAAAAAAATAAAAAAGAATAAGCAAATGTCAAGATAAAGAATCTGAAAAAGGGACTTTACTGGTGGCACAGTGGGTAAGAATCCACCTGCCAATGCAAGGGACAGTAGTTCAATCCCTGGTCCAGGAAGATCCTACCATGGAGCAGCTGAGCCCATGCTCCACAGCTACTGAGCCTGCGCTCTAGAGCCCCAGAGCCACAACTACTGAAGCCCCCACACCTAGAACCCCTGCTCCACAACAAAAGAAGCAGGCATACCCCAAGGAAGAACAGCCCCCGCTCTCCACAACTGGAGAAAGCCCGTGCACAGCAACAAAGACCCAGCACAGCCAAAAATAAACAAACAAAATTATAGACCACAAAAGAATCTGAAAAATACATATACATACAACTGAATCACTTTGATGTACATTTGAAACTAACATAACATTGTAAATTAATTATACCTCAGTTTAAAAATAAATAAAATTGTGATTTGCTTCTCCATTAAAAAAAAAAAAAATCAAGATAATGGTGAAGGGCAACTTTCCAGTAACAGCATGTGCCAGGCTTAGAGAATGATTAACTTGGCATAAGAGAAGGAAAACTAAAGACTTCAGAGGAAGTTTTCCAAGATATATATGAAACAGAACACTTAAACATGCTCAGAGGCAATTTTCACTTATATCCAAAAATTCAGGGATGACTTAGTAACAAAGGCACAGAAACCAAGCTAACCAAAAACAAGCAGCAATTGAGAAGAAATATAATCATAGCCGACTGTGTCACTTAGCTGTAAATAATATTTATATAGTTAAAATGTCAGCTCTAAAGACTGATTTAACCAAAAACTGATATACATATATGAGAAGGATAGAAAGAGGTGAATGTATGTGAGAGGAGGGGGTACAGATTTAAATCCTTGTCTGCTGTAATAGGTCAATAGACAAGAGCTAAAACCAAACAAAAAATCAAAAAATCAGTATTCATATATTATTTAGAAATAATAAAGTAAGCACTAGAAGGCAATTTTAATGATTAAGAATTACTGGACTAATAACAGGAAATTGGACATAAGCAGGATGGAGCAGGGGATTGCTGTTTTTGATATAAGCCTCATTATAGTTGGGCTTCCCTGGTAAAGAACCTGCCTGCAATGCAGGAGACACGGTTTGAACCCCAGGTCGGGAAGAACTTCTGGAGAAGGGAATGGCTACCCACTCCAGTATTCTTGCCTGGGAAATCTCATGGACAGAGGACCCTGGCAGGCTACAGTCCACAGGGTCGAGAAGAGTCAGACACGACTGAACGACTAACACTTTCACTTTTCACTTGTCATATTATTTGACTTTTTTTAATTATGAAAAATATCATGAAGTATATCCTTTTTAAAAGGAAGATTTTTAAAATTTTTTTATGTTGGAGTATAACCAATTAACAATGCTATGATAGTTAGGAAGAGTATTTTTTAAAAACAAATTCTCAAACTACTCACCATCCTGTCTTTTGATGTTTGTAAATTAGACATTATTTCAATAAAAATAATCAAAATTAAATTTAATATTAAATAAGATTATCTGTTGAATGCCTGGCATAGAACCTAGACTATAGTAGAAAACCAGGAAATAGTAGTTTTACCTATGTTTTACAAAACTGATTTATCTTTTTTATCTTATAGTCCCAGTTATATTGTAGAAATGAATCTCAGGCAGGTTTGGGGTTCAGTCCTGCTAAAGATGATCACACCTGGGAATTTAAACTTCTACTCACTCCTTCTGCCAGTAAATGTTCAGAAATCATGTAGGTTTGGGGGTTGTTTTATACTGCTTACTTCTACCCAGAAAATAGGCAAAAGCCAAAGTGCAAAGAATCTGTCTGCAATGCAGAAGACCTGGGTTTGATCCGTGGGTTGGGAAGATCCCCTGGAGAAGGGAATGGCAACACATTCCAGTATTCTTGCCTGGAGAATTCCATAGACATAGGAGCCTAACTGGCTACAGTCCATGGGATTGCAGAGTTGGACACGACTGAGAGAATAACGTTTTCACACACACTGTGTCCAGACACAACCAGGAGACCCTGAGGCTTATAAAGACCCAAGAATGCAAAGGGGCTGCTTCTCAAAGGATCTGGCAAAGATGCACACCATCAATTGGAGGCCTCTGGCGGCCTTCATGGACCCCTGGGGAAGCGTATCC